TTCATTACTAGTTAATGATTTTTTTTTTTGCTATAGGATAATCAAATTTGTGTTGACTATGAGTTCAAGCGAGTTTAGAACAAATTCATTGAGGAACAAAAATAATTGACCCTCGAGAGATATGAAAAATATTGAACCTAAGACTTCTAAATTGTTAGAGGGCAAGCTCCGCCAATGAACCATCCTAAGGGTTGGTGCTACTTAGACAGATTACTATGTAGAAAACTTGCCAAGATCCCAGCCAATCAATCTACAACTTGTCCTAGTTCAGGGGGGTTCATTACACATAAAACCCATATATTAAATTACCTAGCAATCAGGTGACACCAATTGAAATAGCATCAATAAGACAGCATGCTCTTGTTAGTTCTACACTGGATATATATATATATATATAGTGCCTAAAAAGTTCCTTTCACTTCACAAGACTTACATCTATAGCGGAATTTAAAAGAAGTAAATGTCTATTATTACCATCATAACGGACTCTTGTTCCAAGTCTGCTCATTTTTTATTGAAAATTGTGCCTATTCAAGTGGGCTCATGTACCTAAGTTGGTTTGTTTAAGATAAATGAGCAGGTGATAAATGTAACATGGCACAGACAATATCAAAAAAAGATCAATCCCAGACCAAAGTTTAATATCACAGCCGGAGATTTAAGTCAAGCTTATGTCCATCTGATGCTTGCTTGGGCAATTTGTCCACATGAAAGCTGCCTGGCCAAACCAAATCCAATGCCTCTGTAAGCATAAAAGGTGTCCATGCGACACCGAAGCCAATAGGGAAGTCATCAAATCTTGCTGTCATAGTAGATGTTGTTCCTGCTCTGCTTGGTTTGTGCACAATAGAGTGAGGCTGGACACGAAGAGACATCGCGGTGGGAGAGTTGCCGGGTGATGATTCCATGAAGGTCATGATCCTCTGAGACTGATATCTTTTAGCTGCTCCTCTTTCCCTCTTGTGTGCATTCTGGTGACCCCCCAAAGCTTGTGAACAATAGAACTTCCTCATGCAAAAATTGCATGAGAAAAGCTTTCTACTGGCAGGTTTTGATGGAGAGGCACTGTCTTTAGCAGTAAAGGACTCATTTCTGTTGAGGCTTAAACTCAACCATTCACACATATCATCTTCAACGCCTGTTTCATTAGTACTGTCACTAGTTTTCAATCCCTCATCTCTGTTGATGACTGAGGGCTCATATGCTTCCTCCCTCTGGAAGACCATTTCACCACTGCTACAGCCAAGGAACCAACCCGAGACGAGCAATTTCTATTCCTGAATGCCTATCACCTCTTACAAATCAAAATGGGCTAGTTACATACAGAGCTTACCAGAATCAAGTGGACCGAAAGTTACTCCTGTCCACCGACCCTCGCTCAGACCTTTGCATATAGCCTTTCCACCACTCTGAAGTTGAGTTGGAGAGGGTTGAGGCAATGAAGTGCTTGCTCCTAAATAAGGGTAAATGAAGGAAGGTTGTAATGGACAAGAATGGAGGAATCATAAGGGGAATGGAATTGGCAAGGCATATTATTTAATTTTATCTCATTTTGTTCTAGTGGCAATGCTTGTGTCATCTTTTACTATTGGCTATGTCAAGCTTAGGATTCTATACTTATCTTCTTATTTTTCTTTATCATCTGTAATGGCCTCAGTTTCTGGATTCTCTCCCAAAAGGGCCAATACAGAAGGTTAACTACATCCACAAAGCCACAACTTGTCAAATCATGATCGATATTTTTATTTATTGTGTGTCTTTTTAATGGGGGCAATGTGTCATATGTCTCACTTTAACTTTGTTCTTTGTACTAATTATATGCTAAATACTATTCTGGGTTATTGTATAGTATCAAAAGCTTCTGCATCTGCTTGTAATTTAAATTAGGGAAGCAAGTTATCGAAAAGTTTGTGCGGGTAGAAAGGTCAATTCAGACCAATGTAATTCAAACCCTTCAATCGGAGCACATTTATACTAAAAGTTTCAAGGGTAAATACCATAGTTAGTCCATAAATTTTATATCAAATTTTAATTTGGTCTCTGAAATTTTAATTGTTCTAATTTATCAATTTTGTTTCAATTAAATCATTCTGATCATTTCTACCTTTTAGATCAAAACAAAAGCATGTGATTTAACATAAATAGAATAACTTAAACGAGAAAAAAATTGATAATTAAGGGATTAAATTAGATAATTAGGGTTCCATATTAAGATTGCACAACGAGAGCTAAAAGCGACAATAGTCACATTATACATGATAAGACTCTATCATATTTATTTTCGAGAAAGTGGGCCCAAGGAACTGGCAATAATGTGACGAAAAGTAGGCAGTATTGGTTCGGGGTGCTTCTGCTTCTCTAATAAGACTATTTTTGAGGGCCTTCAAGATGTGGGCAATGTAAATATAGCAGTTTGGTGTCTCCATAAAGAGGGCATGTTTGTTGTTCTCTCTCTCTCTCTCTCTCTCTCTCTCTCTCTCTGATGAAATAAAATAATAGTCTGGTGTTGGATTGATGAGTCACAGCTTTTATGGGTTTCGTATAATAATATTATCTCCTGGTGGGATGATTTGGGGGTTGGAATATCACCACATTGGCGTGGAAACAATATCGAATTTTGATCCAAATATGATTTAATTAATTGAATAAAAAATGATATATTTTTTTTTCCAAAAATTTGAACTCCAATTAGAATTGGTTATATATATCACACTTCACAGATACAAATTTAAAGATATATTTAAATTTATATCTGGTAGGATTATGATTGGCTCCCAACGATATATGTACACATACAATTATAAGCTTCGACTTTATGGAATTCTACAGGTTGGATTTCAATTTTTAACAAAATTTAACAGTGAAAATGGAATTCTTAAATCAAAATTTGATCCCCTTGACATGCCTATAACAGATTTCAAGTGTTTTTGCTCACAAGGTGAGTAATTATTATAACAGCAAAAACTGTAAAGAATATTTTAGTGCCCCAAAAAAATAAACAACACAAAAATAGAATTTTAGGGACAACTGCCTTCCTTTCTTTTCGGAGAAGTCACATATTTTCTCCTCTATTTTTAAGTTTTCGGGTGGAAGAAGTGATATTGTAAAACATTAGGGTATAAAACTAATAAAAAGGGCAACTACTTTGTGTAAGGGCTGTGCAAAATGAGCCACTGGCCTAAATATCTTCTTGAAATACAGGTAATACCCTGCTTTGTGGGGTTTTTTTTTTTTTTTTTTTGGGGGGGGGGGGGGGTGGGGAAGGGTGCATTTTCGATATCCCGGTTCTGGGTGGTAAAGAGAGGGATTGCTTCATGAGAGGGCATGATACCATTGTGGTGCTGTCCAAGTGTATTGAGGAAAGCTCTGTTCAAGTCCCTTTCACGAAAACGACCCAATCATATACTAGTGTTTTTTGTGGATCTAATTCCAGTAACTCGCACCATGGCACAGAACTCTCTCTCTCTCTCTCTCTAGTTTGCATTATCCCCCTTCACTCTTATTTTGCAAGAGCAATGTTACATAAACTTAAAAATTAAACTTGATAATTACAACAATTCATTTCGTATTGGTTCTTAACATTTATTGAGACTCACTACTTAATTCAATGGTTGTGATTATCAAGTCTAATTTTTCAGTTTAATTTTTAAATTCATGTAGCATTACTCACTTTGCAAAGTCCATTGAGGACAGACCCAAAAGCAGAAGTCATCAATTGAGGGGTTCAGTGGTCAGGGAGGTATCCTAAATGCTGTTCTTTGGTCATCAACCCTCTAAGGGACATCAAACACATTGCAGGCAGCTTTCAGATCATCCTTTTCAAGCATGAAAAAGTTTAAAGGATGAGTTTCATCGGATCCTCCTGGGTGTGTGCACATAATTTAATATGCTAATTCCTAAACTACACGGGTGTCAATTGGATATCATAACATGCACATCAAATTCTGGGCAATCTCACTTTGGCCGGACACTCCCACTTTTTGAAAAAGCCAGTACATTACTGTAGATCACCCCCATAATTGATGCAGCACGAGGGAAAATTGAGGAGAGGTGATTAATGATGTGGGACTGGGTGTGTGGTATTGTCCAAACACAGGCATGTGCTCTGAAATATCACTTCCAATGGCATTACCTCCTAGCATTGAACCATAACGTGGTGTGTTCCAAAAAGAAACAAGAGAACAAATTTCACCACAATGTGCAAATTAGGGAATTCACCGAATCCTGATGCCTTTAATTCCTGGGTCGTTTAACTGGAAACCTAACATTTGCACCAAGCGATGGCCACAGGAATCACCACAAGATATAAACTCCACCTATAACCAGATTCTCAAGAATAATTCAGCTTAACTGACCGGTATAGCAGACCATAGAATAGAATCCACAATGTCTTCAACATGCAACCAGTAGGAAGAGAGGATAATCTACAGGCTTACATTTAAAGAAATGGCCAATTCAAGAAAGAACATGCATCATTTTCGGCTGGATGCGAAAGAATTTCTATAATCCAAAATATTCTTTCCTGGATTGGAAGAGCTTATATTGAGCCAATAACTCAGGACAGCAAATCCAAGATTTATTAGCTAATCAAATACCTCTATTCCAGGCACTTAAGCCTCCATGTATATACAGCAATTAGACTTGGCAGGTGTCATCATCCTACAGAAACCATACTAAAATTTAGGTCTCCAGTATAACCAGCTGCAAGAACCTGCAGGCGCATTCAGGGCTACAGAAGCTATGGCCATGTGCAATCACGTTCTATCACAACCCAGTCTGCCGTTAAATTCTAATAGAGGATTACAGTGAAGTCCAATAATTTAGTAATACATGGCACGAAATTCCAAGAGAGAAGAGGTATAACACCAACCTAATACCAAATACACCAGTAGTTACCTAGTATATATAATATCCCTGGCTACCACAATAGGGCTAGCAGGCATAAGGACACCAAGAAGAGGATCATACTCATTGATCTTAAGGTAGGGGAGAAAACTGTAATACTCCAATTGTAGCAAGAAACCAGAGATCATTTGACAAAACAGGCAGCATGATGAGGCTATGCCATATAATTGACTTAAATAATAAAGCACATTTTCCATAGCATAACCGATTTGATAGAAGTTAAAATAAATCTCCTAATCTCAACAAAAAGTACAAAATTTTAATTTCCACAAGAAAGGAAAGAAAGAGGAAAGCTTACAGCCTTCTATTCCGAGAAGAGTTCCAAAGGTATACTTCTAAACCTTCCACAATGTAGCACTTGGCCTGCTGATCAAACAGCTAGTTTAAGTACCTACAATACAAATTTATAAGTAGATCAACAGATGCAGCATAAAATTCTCTTTGGAATGGGAGCGGAGTGGGTATATTTTTGGAATTCATAAACCTGCACTTTTTCCATAAAGCATGGATTATGCGTTCTATGGGTGATATGTATAAGATATAGCCAAATATGTCGAGGATTATGTGAAATATTTTTCAAATTTGGATATTCTGGGATACACCACAAATAAGCGAACAATACATTTAGGAATTAGGACACTCGGGGTTGCGCTGGGATACCCCAAGACTAGGTACATGATTTTTTATGTTTTTAAATGGTCCAATCAGGCAAATAAAATAAGTATTTCTATAAAACAAAAATATGAAGATTCTCATGCCAAAAAAATACAATTTTGATTTCCGAATGAATGATCTTTAAAACATTACTCAATAAACTCTCTTAGAATATATTATTACTCACATATTTCAATTGGTACATCTCAAGGTTATCAGTATCCTAATCTGGATCCTAGGATCGTAAGATCCTATAATCTGATATAAGCAAATCAATCTGAGTCTCTTGTAGAATAAAAAATTCGTAGGATTTTAATGAATCGTGATCTGAATCTTATAAGATCTTAGAATCCTAATCCAAACTGCAATTTTACTGATCCAAATTGTTGAATTTGTTTGTTAGACGCATTTAATCATTGAACAATCCAATCTATATTTTTTGTTTTCATAATCAACGACTCAATCTAAACGCGAATGTCTTATATAATTGTGAGTTTATTGGGTAATATTAATAGATTAAAAAAGCTACAAAAGTTTGATTCATTTATAAAAAAGTCACTTAATTTGTTTGTCTTCCTTGTTAAAAAGTTAAACTCAATGATTAAATTTGATTTTCTCTCTTGATGAGTGAACATAGCCCGATAGTCTTCCATTTTTATTATTTTCT